TTAAAGACACAGTCAGACATCGAGCCTGCTAACAATTTGCTATACAAGACTTGAACGGGCAACCTGCCTGCCATCTGCAATTACTTTGAAATCCTCCCGTGAAGCACGTCCGCATATGTGTCAACGGCATTTTCGGAGCCAAAAACACTTTGGAAACCGCTCCCAAAGCGGACGATTTTGAAATCGACAGCTCTTGTTATTTTCCTCTACGGGCCGAGGATGGTTTCTGTGTCTCCATTTTTACGTTTCCCCGTTGAACGTCCCAGAAAGCAAACATCTTAAAACGTATACAACACAACACGTCGTTATTTATATGCGCTAGTGCTTTCACAACAGCCCTAGTAGCTGAAACAAAGTGCTTTACAGAACACTTAACAGAACATTAAATAAAACATTTGCATTTCAAGCGTTATTCTTTTGTTTAATAACGTTTAAAATGTGAAAAATTTTGGTGGGGGGAGGATTAAATAAAACATTTGCATTTCAAGCGTTATTCTTTCGTTTAATTACGTTTAAAATGTGAAAAAATTTTTTGGGGGGGGGGGGATATGCTCCAAATTTTGGACATCAAACTGTCGGAATGCGGATGAGCAGACGACACAATAAGAAACGGGATTTATTTTGAGTGATGCTTTGGAAACACTTTTTCTTCTGAAAGTATGACTGTAAAGTGAACAATAACCAAATTTTCCGTGAAGTAAACGGACTCGTTTTGGCAAATCTCCCGTGACTGGCGTTCACTGTTGATTTGTGCCGTGTGACTTAAGGCGGAGTACTGAGTGAAGATCCAGACAGTAAACAATCAATAGTTGCCAATTGGCTGGCAGCCACGTCGTTTTTGCCACTCTGTGTTGAACAGGACGTGTTTTGACAACTTGGTGCGTGTGGAACTTTTTCCGAAATGTACAAGCCCAATTCCAGTCAAGTCATGAATATTCAACTTGCGATGAATATTCACTGACGATTCAATGAATATCTGAGGGTCGGGATACCATGACTCCCTATTGCTACTAAAAAAAAAAAACTGTGCTTAAAAGAACCCGCTTAATTATCTGTTGATTTAAGTACCAGACTTGTTTACTTGCACTTTATTTGGTGTTTGCTGAGTCGCTCAGATGGCCTGAGGACACAGCGATGTGGGCTTGGCTGCCATAGACACGACATGGCGGATGATGGCTCCTTTCCCGTGGAAAGGAATCAAGCTGTTTAAAGCCCATTAGTTCGGTAATCGCCTTCAAGTCCGTCTCCCAGAGTCGAGCGTCTCCCGGCGCCCAGATCACCGAGGTGTCACTACAGCGAGCCGCAAAAGTTCACTATTTATAGCTTCCATGCAGATTTACTATGTCGTCAGAGCACAGTCGTCATCCGTGTACAGTACATGAGAGCCCCCCCCCCCCTTTTTTTTTTTTTTTTTGGAGCAACACACATCCCAGCAAAACAAGATATTGTCTGAGCCGTGTGCGCTTTCACACAAAGACACAGCAGTCATAGAATTAGATGCGGAACAAAAGTGAGATTTGCGGGGGGGGGGGGGGGGGTTCACACCTTGCTCGTACCTTTTCGGCATTCTCATTGCTCTCAACTGCGGTCTCTGCTCTGTTAGCGCTCGGATTTCCTTTGCCTTTGAGTCACTTTATGCATCCTCGATTTAGGTGACACGATGAGATAAGTCACACCTTAAACTCAAGTGTAATCCAATTAGTTGCCTACATGCTACAGGTTTGAAAATGGTTTTAAGAGGTATGCGTGCTCATGTTTTTTTTTTTTTTTTTCCCCCAAGAGTGCTCCATTCTTAACCGTCATATCAATTCATGTAAATTGAAGTCACTCACTAATGGGAAATAAAATGTCCGTCCGTCCATTTTATTGTCATCCCGCTTGTCCTCATGAGAGTTGCAAGTGAGCTGGAACTTATCTCAACCGACTTTGGGGCAAGAAGATGAACTGGTCGCCAGCCAATCACAAGCCAAATAAAAACAAACAAACAAAAAAACAAAAAAAAAACATTTTCACATTTCATCAATTTAACATCTTCAATGAAACCACCGTGCATTTCACACGTGGCAGTGCAACGTGTGAGATTTTAATTTGTCCTCTGAAAATGTCAGTGTTTTTCGATTTATGAATGTGAACAATGTGTCACGATATCGTTTTCAGAGAACAGGCAATGTACGCTCCACGTTCTTCAAGGACTGCCTGTACGAGGTGTTCGACGATTTGGAATGCAAGATGGAGCACGCCGGGAAACATCTGCTGCGCTCCGTGCTGCAGTTAATGGAAAGCGGCGCGCTTGTCCTCACCACCAACTTTGACAACCTGTTGGAGATCTACGCGGCTCACCAAGGCACAAAGTTGGAGTCTTTGGATCTGACCGACGAGAAAAAGGTAAAGGTTCCTGTTGACATTATGCTGAGGTATTGATTGAACGGTCGAGCCTAGTTAAGACCAGTCAGCAATTTAAAAGGAGAGCAAGGTTCACTGGAGCATGAACGTCAACAAAGACTTTATTACTGGGCATGACTCGGAACACTTAAAAAAAAATAAAAATAGCAACCTTGAAATACTAAAGCAAGATCATTTACACTGCTTCTTTGGTCGATTTCAAACCTAACGGCCTGATCTTCTCCTTTTAGTCACCAAGATCGCCTTTTAATGAAGTTCCTCCTGGGTCAATATTGACCCAATTGATAAATGATCACACTTGAAATAGCATTCTGTTTGGACTCCATTTGCTTTTGGGTTAAAACTGAGCCTCAAGCGTTTTTTTTTTTTTTTGCTCCACCAAATTGTGCTGTTATTTCTTAGCGGTACGCCAGGCATGTGAAATAAATGCGCCATCATCATAAAATACAAATGTCAAACTTTTCCTGATGGTGACATACCGTTCTGCCTCTCAGTCCCGGTATTTATGTCGGGGGCTCTTACTGCTACCCGCTGCCGACCCGGTCAGAACAGGATGTCGTGCAGTGGACTGTTCTAATGTGTGTGTTGTTCCTTTTGTGGGCAGGTGTTGGAGTGGGCTCAGGAGAAGCGGAGGTTAAGTGTTCTGCACATCCATGGCGTTTACACCAACCCGTGCGGCATTGTGCTGCACCCCGCTGGCTACCAGAATGTACTGAGGAACACGGAGGTTATGGTGAGTCTACGAATGCTTTGTGTGTGTGTGTGTGTGTGTGTGTGTGTGTGTGTGTGTGTGTGTGCGCGCGCGTATATATACAGTATACGTAGTCTCTGTGTAATATCAAAATTGGTTTGATGCACTGAAACCTTTGTATGTGATAAATATGCAAAGAACACAGAAATCGGGGGCGAATACTATTTCACAACACTGTGTGTACGACTGCGAGAACAATGACGCATCTTCCCGCTGGATTCCACAGCGTGAGATCCAGAAGCTGTATGAGACCAAATCGTTTGTTTTCCTGGGCTGCGGGCGAACCGTTGACGACACAACCTTCCAGGCGTTGTTCTTAGAGGCGGTGAAACACAAGTCTGACCTGGAGCATTTCATGCTTGTGCGACGCGAGGACGTGGGGGAGTTCAAGAAGCTGCGCGACAACATGCTGGACAAAGGCATCAAGGTCATTTCCTACGGGGACGAGTACTCGGACCTGCCCGAGTATTTAGAGCGGCTGGCCAACGAGATCTGCTTTCGAGAGGTGTCAACGAACGACTGGGGTAAGGTACAGTGTTCGTATGTGGTTTGATGGATAGCGATGATCAAACTTACATGACATTACATTCGCTTTAGGGGCAAAAGAATACCGGCACTATTTGCGTCTGCTATCATTCCATCAACCAATTAGAAGTTCTATGTGCAGGTTAATAAGAAGGTCGTTGTTGCTGTTTTATCAAGTTGTATGGTCAAATAAAACTTGCGTCATTGATCAATTGTACGGCTCACTCACTGAGCTGAAGACACATTTTGCACATGGCCTCATGCGCGATGGTGCTTATGACACTTTAAAAAAAAACAACTTATTTTACTGTACTTATGTTTTGATTGGTGGCTTGAGCGATGTGCCAACATTCGTTTACTGTATAACCTTTCTATCTGTATTTCCAGGGTTTTAAAATGGGGGGGTGGGGGCAGCGGAACGGCTTTAACACTCAGACATACCTCCTTCAAGGTTAGGACTGAATGCTTCTTCTCGCTGACATCAAGCTGCGGCCACACACCAGATTTCCACTTCGGCAAACAAGACTGTTCTCTTTCTGTATGTCAGGAGCGCTCGAACGTCAAAAGGATTTCGCTCCTTCGGGGGTCAAACTACCTGCGGATGTTCTTAGTAGTATCAGCTGACTGCATGATAGCATTCATGAAAGCTGGCTTTGTCAGTAACTTCACTGAAATTCTCCATGTTGTCTTTTTGTTTAAGTGCCACAGACCATTGTTTTTTTTTTTTTGTGCATTTCCTTGTGACAAGGGGGCAGTCCTCTGCAAGTGTTGCAGGTGATTGGATTAACACTGTGGCCAATGTATGTCATTTCCCCCCCCACATTGTTATTTAAAAGGGAAGCTAAATTGAAGTTTGGGACACTCCAGAAATACATCTCTGCTGTTGATGGTAAACTATGAGAGATGTGACTCACTGTGATCGCCCATTAGTCATCACATTGGAAGGGGTATCTTCATGTTACCCCTGCTCTCTGCATGCAAACGCACACAAATTCTACAAGGTTGACGCCTGCCACACGCAGCACCCAACAAAAGGGTAACTTTTCATTCGCGCTGTACTGCGTACAGGACTGGCACAAATATGTCCGAGACAATTCGAATTATGTTCCTTTTTTGCAAGCCTTTGTCCTGCAAGTAGCAACTTGCCACTGGTGCAGACATGTTCTTTGTATGTATTTTGTATTTGTAAGTACCTGTGTGTGTTTGTGATATCGTATTTATAAGTACTATTTTCAAAATAAAGCTTTTGGCATCCCATTTGTGTTGGTTGTATCGTTCAGTCGGATAAAGAAACGGGGACAACGGAGGAAATTCCACAATGTATGCCGTGTACAGCAGCTTTATTTAGAAATGTTTACATTCTCATAAATTAGCTCAAATAACCTTCGATCCGCTAATATTGCATCAATGCAAGTTTCAGTGGGGAGATGCTTGGCTGAGTTCCATGGGGAAAACATAAATAACCATTCTTGGGGAAACGGGTCACAGCAATCATTCATTTACAAACGTACGAGCCTCCTCTGGGATTAATTTCTGAATTAGGCTGGTAAAGAACACGAAACAATACTCCTTAAATTAGAACATGTGATCCTTCAAAGCAGGGGTGGGGAGCCGCTTTTCCTATCATGGGCCACAAAACATTTATAGGGGGAAAAATATAATTCAGCAGCCCAAGTAATGTTGATAATTACATTATGGATATTTGTGGGTTTACTATGTTCGCGGTTCTCAGAACAGATATTCTGAGGTTGTATTTGTTTTTTTCTATTGCATGGTGGGCTGGATCAAATGTTCTTGTGCGGCTGCATGGCTCACTTGAGACAATGTATCAGTATACATTTAAATCCAATTCATGACCGTCAACTGAATCCAACGCCACGTTTCCCCCTTTGAGTAGGATTAGCTCCCATGTGTCTTTGATGTGAGTGGTAACCAAGACAGCAGCAGGAGACAAATAGGCACTATGGTCACGAAGCATTTCACAGGCAGCTGCTGCCAACCTGACCTGATTTAGCTGGTGGGGGGGATGACTGACAAAATGCCATTTATTTGTTGTTCAACTAGTTCTTACTGGGTAAACACAGGTCCATCAGTCGGGAGTGATTCAAAACTGATAATGAGGTACTTGCCAATTTGGCCCAAATCCTTAAGTGTAAAAGTAAAAGGGAGGCTTCCTCTGGTTGTGTGGTTTTCAAATGCAGCGCCGTCCTTTCACGCTGGCCTGAAGCTGGGACAATGGTGCAATGAGCAGAAAAACGGGACATGAGAGAGGGCGGTAAAGAACGGCAAGCGCGGGCTTTTAGCAGGGGGCTCAAGCATCCCTTGGCAGCACGGCAAAATGAGAATGTCGGCTTCCTCGCGATGTCCAACGACAAACATCGGAGCCTGCTGCCATTTTAAGCCTTCATCAGGGCGCTGACCACAGCGCGGGCGTTGAGACTACGCAGGTCGTTGTACGTCTGACCGGTGCCCACAAACACTATTGGCTGGCCCGTGATGTAGGTCATGGAGATTGCCGCGCCAACCTGTGAAGGTAAAAAGGATGGTGCATCAAATGTTCCGATTCAATCCAAATGCAGTTTGGCGCATTTTAACACACCTTGTCGTCGATGGTGTCAAATTTGGTCAGCACGATGCCGTCAATGAGGCGAGGTTTGTCCGACATGGAGTGGTCAGCCAGAGCCTGATTGAACTTGACCTGATGAGAACAAGAGGTTCATATGTACAAGTGGCACTTTTCTACCCAAATACGATGTTTGACAGTATTGATTTATGAGGACAGTTGAGCAGGGGAGAAACACTGCCCTCTGTTGGACCTTAAAATAACAGCATTTTACAACGGGTTAGCTACTCGACAGCTGGTGTGGTGTCTTGTTCTTGCAACGTGGAAAAGTCCTGTGACCACCTGCCGGGATGTATTCCAGCCACCGGTGGCTTTGAACTGATATGTTTTCGTGGCTCAGACATGTGTAGGCAGAAGGACGATCGTAGCTCAAGTAGCAAACATATTTCCTGGTAGGAGTGGGATTTGATTGACAGGTGACGGGTGTGGTTCATGGCATCTGGCCTAATTTGAAAAGTTTTAACTATGCAAGTTTGGCAGGGTTGTTAAAATACTTCTCCACAGTTTGTCAAATTTAGAAGACGCTTATTTGCACTTTAAGGGACTTTTGAGATCGACGTAGGTTCAATATTTTACCATTGCCTGCCACGAAATCCTGGCTGGCTGTTTTCAATTAATTCTTAGATTGATTGCAGTTGTGCAGAGCAACATTATTCAAAAGCTCGTCAAGCCTCACAGTCAAGCGATCCCGTTTTCAATCTGGTTTCAGGCCCTGCTCTGTGAAGTTAGCGTGTTCTCCCCATGCGTTCCTTTTCATGAAGACTCAAGTTGTGAAGACTAGTTTTCCATGCCTCAAACGGGTAAGATTTCATCCCGGAGGTCAGACGGGCTTACCAATTGATCGACTGCCTCGTTGCCCACCAGAGCCTCCCCGACGAACAGCACAAGGTCAGGCATGTTGACAGCAATGAGTTTCGCCAGGGCTGTCATGAGGGGCGCGTTGTCCTGCATACGCCCCGCGGTGTCCACCAGCACCACGTCAAAAGCCTGGTTGCGAGCTGGAAGGAAAGACTCAGGTAGCGCGGCGATTTGATTTTTCGAGTTTCATTACAGGTTGGGTTAATGAGTATTACCATAGGCAATGGCCTCCATTGCAATTCCAGCAGCATCCTTCCCGTAGCCCTTCTCATAGAGCTGGACCATCGTTCGTCCTCCGTGCTTCTCCGGAGGGTGCAGTGAGTTGAGGCGGCGCTGGTGGGTTCGCAGCTGTTCCACAGCCCCGGCGCGGAACGTGTCACAGGCAGCGATCAGCACAGTGAAACCGTTTTCAATGAGCCAGAATGAGATCTGGACCGAGAAATGGGGGTGGGGGGTGGGGGGGCACATTCACAAATGACGTTATGCTATTTATTGAACGGGATAAGTAATCAACAAAACAAATCTCTTGCAGGGTGCTAGCTCCACGTATCTTTGTAATTCGGGTATTTTCAATACCCGAACACGAAAAGCTCACCTTTGCCAGGTTGGTGGACTTTCCAACCCCGTTGACGCCACAGAACGTAATGACGAAAGGTCTCCTCTGGCTCTGCGCCTCCATGACGTCTCGCAGAATATCCACCCTGCGCTTGGGCTGCAAAATCTGCACCAGCGACTCTTGCAGGGCCTGCTTTACTGTTGAGGCAACAGCTATACACACACACACACAAGATTTGCATCAATGAAATATGACAATTGACTGTAGTGTGAGGAAAAAACAACTTGAAAACAATTGAATGTTTACTCACTGGTGAAGGTGCCCATGACTTTGCCTTCCAGTTTTTTGGCTACAGAGTCACAAAGCTGTGAGGCAATTTCGGCTGCTACATTCTTCGCTGTGAAGCGCGGGCCCACAAAGATGACCAATCAGTGATCAATGATGAACATCAAGTGAGAGAAAGGTGTCAATCTCCTACCAATGAGGTGGTCCCTCATCTTCTCTAAAACCGGCTCCATGTCCTCCAGGTTCAGACTCTTGGAGCCCACCAAGCCCTTCAGCATGCCAAACATGCCGCCAAAGCCGCCACTCTTCTTGGCACTGACAAAATTCCACATCTTTCATGCAAAGTTTTCACATTGAGTGCTAAAAGATCAACACTCGTCCGTACCTTGTCTTTATTGTTGCATTGACAACTACTCTTTCTTCTTCCTCCTCCTCTTCCTCCTCCTCATCATCATCACTGGAATCACATTCCACAGATGGCAAATCTCCAATCATGGGGGTGAGCTGCATCCCCTGAAACATTTAGACATTATAACACAGTGTTCATTGAACAAATAAATGTCTTTCAATGGTCGTGTTGAGACATACAGTAGCAATGGGTGCATCTGGGTTTTGGTCACAATCAGGGGAACTCTCTCCGTTCCTGTCACTGTAGTCCAGGTCCTTGGTGCTGCTGCCAGTCATCTCCCAAACGCGCCTCTGTTTCTCCTTGGGCTTCTGAGGCTTTGGAGACTTACTAGCAGTAAGACAACACGCCAACAGATGACTTCATGGCCTACATTATGACTTCAAGATACACACTGCAATACTTCAAGACATGCTCGACAAACAGAACAGTACAAAAAGATATGCAATTAAGCCTCTAATATTTGCAGGTCGGAAATGTGCTAATTTGCCTCAGGCAAATTTTTTTTTTGGGGGGGGGCATGCTCCATTATATGCTGAAAAAACTCACCTATTCACTGGTTTTGTGCTCAGGTTACAAATATAATAATATTATTGCTTGCCAAGGAACAATGTTGAAGTGAGTTGAGGAGCTTTTGATATAGCGCTGAGTTGCCATTTTGTGACATCAATAGGCAATTATAAATGAATGATTGACGATTTTTGCGACGTGCCGCATGGCTCTCTCTCGATCCCCCACAAATAGCGGGGGAACTGGAAAATGTGTTTTCTCAGTACCCTCTTCTCTCACCCGGTTTCCCGAAATCATCTCCAGAAACGTCAATATTCAACGTCAATCTCTCACCTGACTTTTTCAGCAGGTCCCACTGCACGCTTACGAAAGAACTCCTCTCTCTTCTTCTGCATGATCTCTTCAGCAGTAAGGCCGTGGTTGCCGTTTTCAACCAGCTTCGGGGTAGAAGATGTGCCTTTGCCTTGCTCTGCTTTGACAAGGTCCACCGGAGGAGCTGGAAAAGATTAGGCAAATCAGATCAAACAAGAAATAATGATTAAAAAAAAAAAATACCTAATGTTCCTTCAACAACACTTACCTTCCTTTTTGGTATTCTTGCTTTTCTTGCTACCCTGTTCTTTTTCTTTGTCCCCACCCTTTATTTCTATCATTGACTTCACAGTTTTTTGGGATTTTTCAGACTCCTTAAAGGAGCGCATAGGTGCGGGGCTCCGAGCCCTGCTACCCTCTTCTGCTTCTCTGTTGGAAAACATTAGACATGAGATGTGTCATCATTTACATTCAAACACATAGGATGATTCATCACAGGCAGCATTTTACGGCTGAAATGACTGTGGTGGGAAACAACAGTCACCACATGTTTTGCCACCACCCCCTCCCAACCACACGATCATCAAACACACATGCACACGCACTTAAAAGTTCCGGGAAATTCCATAAACATCATTGTGGCTGGGTAAGACAAACTAAATAAGATGCTCAGGGTACCTTTTTTTTTTTAGACAGGTTTAGTTTTTGGTGTAAACATGGGTGTTCGTGCAAAAATTCCTGAGGAAGAAAAGCCCCTCTTGGTGTATAGTTGCAGCTTGCAGGTATTGTGACTGAACAAGTCACCTCTGATGCACACATAAAACAGACCGTCCGATTTCTTTCGTGGATGATCGAATACAGTGACAGTTTACACAATTACCGAAGAAGCACTTTGAAGTCATCCTCAAATTCGAAGCTGTGGTTGAGAAGCTTAATCACTCCCCTTTGCTCCAGTTCATTCTTATAACGGTCCCTGAAATGCAGCTGGACGTCATTTATGAACTTGTCCACATAGGTCAGCGTTAGGATCTTCTGAAAACCCACCTGAAGAGCAAGCGCACACGGAGGTTAATGTCCACTCGCATATTATTTTTCATGAATATCGATGCGTTCACTGACTTACCACAAAAATCAACTCAAACTCGTTGTCCAGTTTATATTTGAGATTCAGGGATTCATGAGTGAAGGAGTTATTTCCACTCCGTTCCTGGAAAGTGACGAGGGATGTCAACAAGAGCTGAAAACATTTCATCCACGCATCTTCCGCGGGCGGCTTCAAAAACTAACCGAAACAAATTTTTATTTTCTTTTAGCTCGCAAAGTTGACGCCGGTTCTCGTGTGACAGATTTAATCGTAATCGCGTCGCGCAGTACAGTACGTGTACAACGTGCGCAGCTACCTTGCTAGCATTAGCCCTTCGCACCGTTCAGGGAGCCTACCGTCATCGGACGAAAACCATTTAACGAGGCTCACCTGCAGGATCACGGAGCGGATCAGGGCGTTGACGGGCCCGGTGAAGGACTCGGTGACACCGGTTCCCTGAAAGCACCACAGCACTATCCCACCTTTGCTGAAGATGGTGAAGAAATCGAGCATCTTGCCAACACGTAACCTGGATTAGAGAGGGTAAAACGGTTTAGAAAGGTGCAAACCGAAGGCCTACCAAACAAAAATAGGATGGAAAACAAGTGAAAGGGTGATGTCCAGTTCTCCAGGGACTCACCCAAAATACTAAAATAGTAAATAAACCCCCGGCGAGTTGGCTCCACCACTTGTGCAAAACAGTTTTTCGACACGTCAGAAGCAGAATCAGGAAGTGACGCAGATTTGCGCTGCCATGCGCGTGCGCACGGTCGAAGTGTATGACGTTTCTTCCTACGTCTATGAGGGTAGGAAGTGAGGGGCTTCAGAACGCTGCATTTCTTTCCAACCGAGCCTGGCTGTGTTGCGTTCAATGCTGCGATTATTCAGAACAGCCACTAGAGAGCGGTGTTGCCCACTTTTCCTCAGCATGACTCAGAGTAAAGTACAGTGCTGTACTGTACATCGATGCAAATAGTGTACAGTATATGATGCACAAACTTCCTCAGAATCTCCACGAATGGCTGATCTACTTTGGCAACGTTTTTAAATCTCACCTCAGGGTCTGCTAAGGGGGAACCTATGACATATTTTTAATCAGCACAGCCACCAAATTATTTTTATTTTATTTTGGCTGCTGTGTATGTAATCAATACGGTGTAAGGCATGATGACACCGTGAAAAGTGAGAGCCAGAAATAACAGCTTGAGGCTTAATATCCTGTTTCAGATCAACAAATGTGTATGACCCCAATATTCAATTCTCTATTTTCTATTCTCTAATTCTCATTCGGAATGATCCTCTCTTGAATGAGTAAATTGTAGTACATTACTCGGCACGATGTTATGAATTTAATTAATCACGTGAGAGGGGATTAGAAATTTACTGTTTGTCTGATATTGGTGCAAATAAAGTGTAAGATTATCAATGCTGATCCCAATGCCTCAAACAAAGTCTGTTAAATATTAAGATTAATTGTTTACTCTATTTATGGTAGTTTCCATCCATTTGAGGATTTTCGGTACAATCGAAATCGCCACCCAGAAACAAATACTCAGCATTGTTGCAATTACTGAGAACATTTTCTCAGGCATCAAAAAAAGATTGATTTGGTCGCATAAAGACTCATAAACTCTGACCTTTAGCACTCGACCTGGAATAATGTTTTCGACTGTCGAGGATATAAGGTAAAAAAAATCCAGAGACAAGAGAATACCCCCCTCTCCCCCGCTGTTGTTTCTCCCATGACTGAAAACGATCTCTCAGTTCCACTCCCTCTTCCAGTCTGTAGTAGCCCATGATCAATTGCTATTTTTTTTCCATCTGCTTGACTATATTACGTGTGCTAGAGTATAATCCTACACAAAACGTGTGATATGAACCTAGGATCCTAAAATATCAATGGCGCTAGAGAAGATGCAAAAAGAGCATCTCATGAGTGAGGTGCGTGTCCTGCGTGCCCAGTGTGATCTTTGTCTCCTTGCGAAAAAGATGCATTCCCCTTCTTTCGTGCAACTGGAGCGTGACATTGGTGTTCCTACAATTGTTTTAATATTTGTTTTTATAGGGGATGCCATCTGTCAGCAGCACTAGTCAGTTGTTTTCTACTAATGTTACATCAGTCTCCCATTCCCCCCGTTCCCCGGACACAAAATGCAATCGAGAGTCACTTTTTGTGCCAGAGTACACATCGAGGCTAACCTCAAGCCACGGTTCACGTCAGTATGTTTTATATCACTAACAGTCAAAAGGGATGGAAATGAATAGGCTGGAGAATGTCCTTCCTTAAGAAGAGAAAGACTAACAATAATTCTGCCAGGCTGATGGCCTACTGTTCAACCTGAATGTGATCCAGTTACGTAGTGGTCATCATCCCAGTGCTCTTTGAAAGAGGAGAAAATAAGCCTGTGCAGAGCATACTGCCGTGATCTACATGATACTCTCGGACCACCAACAGTCAGATAAAAAGCTCTCAGCTGTTTGTAACGACGGTGGTCCAGCCCATGTGAGGCCAGATTGACCAGAACATTTGTGTGTGCGGTGAACACATTCAGCTTGCCATGTGACTGCAATGCTTCGGCTGTGCTAATTAAAGGAGAACAGGGAGATCCAAACATCTTGTCAAGGTTTTTATCATACATCACAGATATAGACCAAACAGTGAAATGAGAAGTCTGCAATTGAAATTCAGCACAGCAAAGACAGATGGGTTGTTTGTTATACATCAGTTATTTCCTGTTGCAGCAGGACTATTTGATAAAAATGTCAACATCTGCATTGCTTAAAACAATTGAAGGTTATGGAGTGGCCTAGTCAAAGTCCAGACTTTGATCTGATTGTTGCAAATTAATGCTGTGACATGACCTTTAAAAGGCGGTTAATGCTCCAAAATCCTCTACTGTTGCTGAATTTAAACAATTAAACAAATAACATTCCCATCAATTTTCTGAACTCTAATTTGGAGGGGGTTTTTTTTGTAGGGGAACGGAGGACACTCCCGATCCGAGATTCAGACCCCCCCCCCCCCCCTCCCCAACTTCACTACTGTATTGTGCAAGCCAGACGTGGATTCCACCACTAGCCACTCGCGTGTTTCTCATGAATATTTCAGACACACGCAAAAATTATAACCACAAGCAGCTGTTTACAGCGTCACATGAGGACCTTATGAGCAGATTTTGATTGAATGTGGACATACATCACTGCGCTATTCGCTAAGGGTAGACCCTCCTGTCCGCCTGAAACGCGCGTGCCCCCTCTTTTCGCGCATGCGCAATGACGCGGTTTGGAACGCGCTGCTGGAGGAGTTGAAGAGAGCGAACGCGTTTGGAGCCTGAGTTGCTGTGTGCCTGCGGCGGCGATCAGGCCAGCGGTGAGCTCCCCGGTGGTCCGCTGGTTGGTTCCCCCGTGATGCTCGTCTGACTTGGCCTCGTCTTTCCCTCGGACGGAATAATTCATGTCGTGAGTCTAACGTGTCGGCGTGAGTCTGGTTACTCGTTCCCAGCAACGTTTCACCTTCTCTTCGGATGAAAACTGGTCACGTTGGTGAGTACTGTTCGAAAGCTGTTCGGATTCTCGACGACGCAAAACGTGAGACAAAAAAACAAGCTGGTGAACTGTAATTCAATTTGACTAGTCGGCTTGCGTTTCTTGAATTCAAGTCATTTCTTCCATTTGACAGATGTTGCAGACGCTGTTATTTGTCACTGACTGTTAAAGATAGATGGCAGACAGTCAGTCATTCATTCTGACAGTCAAACATGACGTCTATTAAGGGATTTTTTTTTTTTTGAATCTGCGCATAAAATAACCCGCACCTCTCACGTGCAATATTGCATGTGACGTAAAGAACATGAAGGATTTGATTATTTTGCAGAAAACTGACTTTAATGTTGTTGTGCCCTTTAACTTTGAACACGTTTAGTAGCTCATTGGAGTTTACTGTGTGAAGTTTGTTTAGCTGTATGGGGATCATAAATGTATTTGCATTCCAGATGGTGCACGGTTGCAGTTGGAAAAGTGCACTTGCATTATTGCATCAAAGTAAAACCAAAGCAACGGCATTAAGTGGCTTTATCTTTTCTTTAGACCAGAGGTCCCCAACCTTTTTGGACCGGTTTCATGTCAGATAATATTTTCAGGGACAGGCCTTGAAGGCCGGATAGATGTAACAATGTAATATGGTATGACCTGCATGAAAAACGTGGTATTTTCGAAACATATTAATAAACACGAATCATAACACGAGGAACGTCCTATCTGGCCGCAACATTCTCAACACTCACAAACATAAGACTGTGGTGCATGTATTTACGTAATAAAGATAAAGTTGTGTGCTCATGATATTTTTCTCTCCGTAGGAACAAAATGTTTTACACCAGGTATCAAGGCTACTTCAAACAATTCACCCAGAATTTCAAATTAACGTTGTTGGTCTTGTTTCAGATTATCTGTTTTCTAAAGTTACTCCAGGGAATAAATCATTTGTAAGCCAGTTTGAAATGTTGTAAGTAAAGACCATTTTTGAATCGATACGTGGCTTTCCTATCGTGAAACCAAGGTGCATAAAATGTTTTTGTGTCTGTCAGGGCAACCAGTGCAAGACGGAGCACAGCATGAACCTAAATAGCTCTGATATCTTGTCAGATTTGGAGCTGTGCACTGTGAGAGTGTTGCCGGAAAAAAAAATACAATTAAAAAAAAACAACAACACACACACACACACACACACACACACACACACACACACACACACACACCAGTTTATAATGTTTTTAAATGTTCCATTTTATTGTGATGAATACGCCCAATCTTCCATGAGGTTTGGATGGAGAACAATAGGAAAGTTGCAAAATCACTCGTAAGTCTAAGTCGAAAGTCTACTGTTGTGTAACTTCTGTATTCAATTAAATATCATTTCATCCCCCTCCATGTTGGGCGATGTCACACACAATGAAGAAAAGAGGGATGTGTGTTATAAAATGGCCTGCGGGGACTTACTTGGTTCACATGGTTATGACTCCCATGAGGAAAATGCATTGAGGAAGCAAACGGATTTGATTAAAGGCTTTTTTGAATCTGTTTCCTCATAAATGTGGTTAAACTGCCACATATGACATCCTGGTTTATCTCTTCTGAGCAGATTAAAAACAAGGATAAGGTGTGTGTGTGTGTCTTCAACTCAACTCAACTCAACTGTATTTATAGAGCACTTTCAAGCAGCCATCGCTGCATACAAAGTGCTGTACATGGAGCAATTTAACATATACAACAAACAGTTAAGCAAATCGGTAATAAAGACGGTAGAAAGCACCGAACAGCAAAACCAAGAACAATCTAAAATCATGCTGAGTCAAATGCCAAAGAATACAAGTGAGTTTTGAGGCGGGTTTTGAAGATGGGCAGCGAGGAGGCTTGCCGAATGTTCAGTGGGAGGTCATTCCAGAGAGAGGGACCAGCAACAGAAAAGGCTCGATCCCCTCTGAGCCTCAGTTTACTTCTTGGTACTTCTAATAATGTCTGGTCCGCAGACCTGAGGCACCGGGCAGGTGTGTAGGGGCAGAAGAGCTCAGAGAGGTAAGGTGGCGCAAGGTCATTTAGAGATTTGAAAACAAATAAGAGGATCTTGAAAATAACTCTAAAATGTATGGGGAGCCAGTGAAGGGATGCCAGAGTAGGAGTTATGTCATTCTTTATTGTGATTTATTGATTTTGTTTTATGTAGCTGTTACTACCATAAAAGGAAAAAAAAACCCAACACATTTCTACATTCTGAATTCTAATATGTGAATGTAAAAAGACAAACAGGCATCAAGGGTTGATCTATATTGCAATATTTGCATATTTGGAAGTTTTGTGTGACTTCAGTGGCACATTTTTCTCGAACATGTCTGGATGATTTCCAATTTTTACACCATCAAGGGTATTTGATTTCAGACGTAGCCCTGTATCGTGTCAGGGATTATAAATAATCCAAGAATACATCGCCATGGCATCGTGTGATTACTTTGTGTTGTGAAGCTCACAAATCATAGGAGAACTGAGTTACAGTCTATTCCAGTATGTCTTCTCCAAAAGCGTTTCAATTCTTTCATAATAATTCCTCATTTGTACTTTTTCATCCATTGTTGGTGTTAATTTACGGTTTTAGCCAAAGAAATTCACCTGCTGTTATTTACACATTTTCAGCTCACAGTTGACATGAAATACATTGTCGTTTCAGCTGCTTTGTTTTGACTGGGGCATATTAGAGCCTGAAAATGTAAACACCCTAAACGGCGTCTTAAATAGAAAATATTAGCATCACCTTTATCGTGTAAAATGAAAACAGCGGTCTGTGAAGGCGTCAGGGGTCGGTCTTGCTGTCTGTGTGTAAGAACTGTCAGAATTTACCTTTGACTCTCCTGCGGCCATTTCCAGCCTAGCCGTGACTGCCCACGGTCTTTCTTCATGTCACATTTATGCAGACAAGTTATTCAACAGACAAGCCGCTGTGCATTCAAGAAGTGTTTCGTAAGGCTTCAAAATGGTGAAAACATCAAGCCTTTCTCTCTGCTCTCAAATGACGTGGGTGTGTTCACTGAACGTGCTGAAACCATGCCGCACTCCACTGGCAACTGTCAATCAAATACTACTACTACGACCTGAAAAATGGAAGCTACTTCATTGAGCAACTTTCTTACACCAACACGTTAACAGTTAACGCCGCAGCCACAATCCGGTTTTGATCCAGAAGACACCGACCTAACTGAGAATCGGCCTCGTTCATCTCAGTCTGTACCAGAATGGTCATTTTTCATGTATAAGTTAGCAGTATGTTTTAGTCAGTATGTTATGTCTCCTCGTTTTTTGAGGCAATTTAAATACCTACTCTGATCTATTCTGTAAATTGTGACTTGTAAGGAAGATGCATATGCGAGGTGTTGGCATAGCTGCCTATCTGCACGCTGCAGTGGTAGAATGTATGTAGTGGGGGAACGGCCGGCTAATGTCAAAAAAAAAAAAAAAAAAAGACGAAAACTTTTATTTCCCATGAACTCCAGAAACATCTTTCATCATTCCAGTGTGTGTGACAACCACCAGTGAAGGGGCAGTGCTGAGATGGGAAAGGGCTGGTCTGACGCCAAAGGGTCCCTATTTGCCTCACATCATTTTCAGCCACATTGAAACACATTCGAAAACTGATCCGTGTTGAACAACATATTTTAGTTCCTGACATGGATGACATCACTTGCATGTTTTTTTTTTTGTTGTGGTTTTTTTTTTTTGTTTTTCTCAACTCAGCCTCTCATAGTTGTTTCCTCTTTTAGGGCCTGCTTTCTTTTTCAGAGTGGCCATGATAGTGCTTCAATCCAGTTCACATTGCATCTGTCTGTTTTGTTTTTTTTTTTTTGCATATAGAACAAAAGAGCCCTGGGCTGATCAGTCGTAAACCTGCAGTGGACAGAGTCACTGGAAATGACTGAGAGAAAAGGTAAAATGATGACTTAAAGAGCAAATTAATTTCGCTCTGTTCACCAGATTTGTGTGTGTGTGTGTGTGTGTGTTTATATATGTATCGATAGATATATCTATATCGATTGTAATCTATCTCGAGAGAGAGAGAGAGAGAGAGAGAGACTCATTTCTGATCACACGGTTTATTTTTATTGGAGTCAAACTGAAACACTCAACCACTTGAGGGGAATGCTGGAGCTTATCCCAGCCATCTTTGGGCAGTAGAGGGGGTACACCCTGAACCGGTTACCATCCGACAATTTTTTGGGCAGTAGAGGGGGTACACCCTGAACCGGTTACCATCCGACAATTTTCGAGTGGTCAATCAGCCTGCCATGCAGGTTTTTGGAATGTAGGAGTACCCGTAGAAAACCCACGCGGGCCAGGGGAGAACATGCAAACTCCACACAGCTGGAATTGAACCCGGTACCTCTGTACTGTGAGGTCAACGCGCTAACCACTGGACCAGCGGGCCTCCCTACACTGCGGTTCCTGCAATTAAAATGTTACCGTCAATGAGGTTTACGCGGTTTCGGTGTGGGTTTACAGGGTGAGGAAATGTAACATGGAACCAAAACGTGATGGGCGATCTGCTAGTAAGCGTTGCTCCAATTTTGTCCAAACGGCACCTGACGGCTGTTGGGTTCGAACTCCATTTATTTCGGTGGGAAATTTTTAAAAGGAAGTCGGCGTCAAGAGAATCGATTGTGTTTGACTTTTGAGAAGCCACTGTTCTGTTCCAAGCCACTGATCCGTGCCTGACCACAAACGATCCTCTTCAACGACAGTACAGTATCTCTTTTCTGCTGGGTTTTGCTTCCGGAAATCTGCTTTGTTTCTCCGCCACGCCCATTTCCTTCGTCACTGAAGCAGAAGTTGACACAATGCAGCGGTTCAGAGATAGCCTTTTGCCGCATCTTCTGGATAAAGCTTTATTTCGTTTTTTTTTTTTTAATTTCGTATTTCATTTACGGCAAATGCAGGTGCTAATTTGGATTCTTGGCATCCGCACCCCATCATACAGTGAGCAGACATGACAAGGACATGGGGGAAAGTGAATAAGTCCCTGAACGCGGCTAGAAGTAAGCTCTCTTCCTGTGTGTGGGTGTGTGGGTGTGTGTGTGTGTGTGTGTGTGTGTGTGTGTGTGTGTGTGTGTGTGTGTGTGTGTGTGTGTGTGTGTGTGTGTTTGTGTGGCTTAACCCTGATCTTGATGCACATGAATATTTGAAGGGCTGGATTATTGTGGAAAAAAATAACAAGCGCCAATATTTTGATTGTGATCGAAATCAGGATGAAGAAAACGATCATTCATTGCTTTCAAAAATGAGTACGATGCCCAATCATCTCTGCACGATGAACACTTAATTTCTGAACACCGTATTGTTTTTGTCGGGTCCAAAATGACCTTGTAATCATGAGAAATTCAAACCTCTTGCACATTCATTCTGCTACGTCACACCATCGCATTACATTGAAGCCTTGAATCAGGCATTGCCTTCATCTCTTTTTCACATTTATCGGAAAATGGATGGATGGATGTTCACTATTTTGTAAAGCTCTTTGTTCCAGCTGCAGCTGTTCTGAAAGCGCTATGTAAATAAAGATGAATTGTATTGTAACCTACGTTTTTTTTCTGCTACTGCCGATTAGAAAGGAATGAAAACAGTCAGAATCACACTTTTTTTCCCTGGTGAAAGTAGAGAGTAGTTTGGTACTTTGGTGTTTAGTATATATTATCATTGACCTCAATATCCTGGTGGTTTTCAAAATGTCAAAATGCTCCACTCCAGTGAAGGAGTTAAATTATGACCCCACTCACAGCACAGTTTCACCTTAACTGATCTTCCAGTTTGTCACTTCAGTTTGGCTGTCACCATGTGTTGGTTAGTCAGGAAGTCTGGCAACCAGAGTGCCTCACATGTCACTTCTTGGAACTCTGTAACGTGGCGTGTTCATGCCTCAGCGCGTTTTGCCACGAGGGCGCATAATATCATGTTGATGGCGTGGGCAGTGATGACAGATAACACAAACAATAGAAATGCAACGAAATGTTTGTTAATTTTTATCGAAATACAATATTTGGAGTAATCCAGTCCCAAGAGTCATCGTGCGTGTTATCAGGATGTCACGCACTGAGACAGTTTGATTTCCAAAATTTGGATCAAAAAAAAATAATAATAAAACAAAGGCTTTAAAAGTATATTATTGTCTTGTGCTTTTTGTTGACCGCCCTGCTTGCCTTATTGTGATAAAAAAAAAAAAAAAGAGTGCCCTGCTGGCTCCAGATAGTAGTTGTCACTTGCCACGCCTGCGGTCTGGAGCGTATTTTTTGTCAGTGATCATGAAGATGAAAAATGCCAGACAGTGCAACCACCAAAGTCAAGCTCAGCCCAATCGCTCCAGCGCTGGTTGTTCTAATTTCAAGACACACACGTTGCATTAATTGAAATGGAATTATTATGTTTCAAGCTTGCACCGTTTCCACCGTGAAGCTGGAGAGGCGTTGCTTGATATTTTTATATGGCTTACTGTCAGACAACTTAACCACTGTCTAATTTGAGAAAAAAGTACTTTCTCAAATAAAGTTAAACTATTCACCCCTTGAAGACAGAGCAGGAAAGTATTTGCAGAAATATACTGTCACTTAGTGTCTGGGTTTAATAAATGTAGTGTAATAACTAATAATAACGTCTTTTGTATCAGCATATATTTGTTGAAATTGAACTTGAATGAAATGTATTGCTCATGCTACAAGAGCGCGATGCGTTCCTATGTTGTGATAAGTTATATGGTTATGGTTATAATTTTTATCATTGTCAATACTTGAACACTATTGAATTTGAATTATTTGTCATTTTATACTTTTAAAAAAATAATGAGGGCATTTTGTAAACAAGTGGATTCATTGGATTGAAGGTTTCACTAACTTGTGCTTTATAATCGGATATGATATCGCAGTTATTTCTGTAATTCTTTTCTTTTTCTGATTCCAGCATGGTGCCTTAGTCTTATCCCGGTTCTCTTCTTCTTCATCTCATTTTTCACATACTACTGTTCCTATGCCATAGTGCAAAGGTAAAGACACACACACACACACACACACACACTTCCTTTGTCTTTTGTCATTGCTCTGGTATTAAGGTCACTTAACACCCAAAATGCCTGCTGTGCTTAAAAAACTGAAAAAAAAATCTCTGGAGGACTGCAAAGCGCTGAGTCCCCATGAATAAAGTAGTACAAGCCGACCACTGAGCCAAGCTGCTGGTCAATTAGTCCCTCATTCAGACCTACTTTGCACTTTTTGAGGCTTCTGGACCCAGTTTATGTCTGGAGCAATCTTATTATTATTATTTTTTAAATGACTTCAATAGCAGTTTTCAGTTTCATGCCAGTGGTGGTGATTCACGTCTTTGTGTCTTGTCTTTTCACAGTTATGCCGGCACCAGCAAGTCTGTCAAGAGCCACAACTCTTTGTGTGCTGGCAGGCTGACACAGAAGAAGTGGGAGAGCCTCGACTTGAAGTGCGTCACAGCATGTCTGCTTAGGTTATCACGATTCACATGTGCTTCTGGCACAACTGTATTATCAGTTGACTTAGCTCTGCAACCATTACTCACCCCATTAGGCAAACCTGTTCGTATCAGAGCCAATACATGATGAATGATGATGATCAAAAGCGCCCTCATATCTTAAGCTTAATAATAAACTCACATCACAATAAGCAGCAGTTTGGCAAACAATGAAAATGTCATTAAAAAAAAAAAAACGGCTTCAAGCGGTTTAATGGAACTTGAGGTTGACGTTTACTGTCAAACTAAAAGTAAAACAGAGAATTACACATTGTTTTCAAAACAACCAAACTACATTGCCTTAAGAGCATGCATCAGCTCGCTTAATACTAACATAATGGAAAGCATGGCTGACATGCTAACAGTTAGCATCAATACTTACAGTTTTACAAACTTCGAAGCAACAGATATTTGAACACAAATTGTGGAGCATCACATGGTGAAAAAAAAAATAATGGAGCAATACTCACAAGCATATATTCTTTATCCTCTCCAAAACTGACTCAGGCACTGTTCAGGAACAGCCTGAGATGCATTCTGTCTAAATGCAATATGAAACCAACTCCCGAATGTGGATTCAGTCTGTCTCTGGTAAATCAGATTTCATGTGCTTTGTGACTGTTCAGACGACAACAGAGCCATTCGGTTTCGATCTGATGGGCAGCCAAAAAAAAAAAAAAAAAAAAAAAAGACTGTTATTCTGAGCAAGGCCTGATATTACACAAAGTGAGTGGGAAGGAGTAAAAGTCTGTTCTTTTTTTTTTTTTTTTTTTTACCTGCAGGACTGGAGGAGCACAATGAATTGGATTAATATTAAAAATGTGTTTTTTTTGCAGGGGGGAGGTTGGAACGGATTAGTGACATTTCCATTCATTTCATTGGAGAAAGGTGATTTGAGATGGGAGTGTTTTGAGTTATGAGTGTAGTCACGGAATGAATTCAACTGGTATCTCAAGGCACCACTGTAGATGGATGTACAGTACAAATAGATCGGCTAAATATGAATTATTTTTTTTAATGCGGCTCTTGTGTGAGATGTCATTATCCTGACCAGATGCGGCTCCTGAAGTGAAGTATTTGCTGAGTATTTATTACTGATACCTTTTCCAAATATTGTTACTCTCCATTTGTGATCGCATAACTTATCAAGACCACGTTTTATCCCCCCCCCCAGCTTTTACTGTAATTCTTCGCCTCTGGACTTTGACCTTTTAAAATGCCAAGTTTTCTAATCTCTACAAGAAAAACATAGTGTGCACGAAGTCCACCGGTTTATGGTGCTTGCCGTGATGTTTTGTCTCATTAAACCGCTTCATGTCCTATGGCGAACTTTCTGACATATGAAATGTATGGGAGCCTCTCTGTCACCGCAGTGGGTCATAAACAGCTGGAATCCGACGCTGGTGAACAAGTCAAAATATTTGACGCGTAATACCAACTGCTGCATTTGTCCTGCTCCAGAAGCTCTGTGAACGTTGTTGTTTTCTTTTCCCTCCAACGAGGCGTGCCAACAGAGGATGTTAATGAGGGACATAGAAATTCAAATGGCCCGTCTGCTCTGCTCATAACGAGCGTGTTTCACCTTTGTAATAGATACCAGAAGCACTTTGGCAAGTTAACGTTTCACCCAAGCCAAGCACAACAAGTTTTCTAAATGGCTGCGATGTGTTTACTGGCAGCATCGTTTGCATTGTCTATTGTGTGCTTTGTTATCACCAAACAGCATCAAAAATGACTTTGTGACTTTCGTGATCTCCAATGGGATTCGTGTGTAACCACCGTCCTGATGTTTCTCCCACAGCATTAGCAGGCGGACGCAGCTCTTTCTAAAACTGGATGATTTCTTCTGGCGAGAACATCTGTCAACGTTGCCGCTTCCTTATGGCATCAAGGGCAGCGGTATGTAGATATTTATTACCTGCTATTTTGCCATTTTATTTCTTTAAACTTTTTGATTATTTTACATTGTGAACTTCTGGGATTTTGTGTCTTACAAGACACAAACCATTTATTACAGAGGGTGGAGGACCTTTTTTCCTATCGGGGCATTTCGGTTTTATGAATTCCACCAAGGGTCAAACAAAGGAAAAAAATAGGATGTGACAGCAGAACATTTTTTTGTTTTTGGAGTTACATGCCCCAGTGGATTAAATACTCCCACGGGGCCATTGATAACCAAAATAGGATGTGACAGCAGAACATTTTTTTGTTTTGTTTTTGGAGTTACATGCCCCAATGGAATTAAATACTCCCACGGGGCCATTGATAACTCACGTGCCCTAGGTTCCCCACCCCTGCTTGATCCCATCTTGCTGCTTTATTCACTTTCTGACGATCGTCTATTTTAAACTGCTACCTTTCTCTCGTTTCCACCCAGAACTGCAGCTGCTGAAAGTTCTTGCGGTAACAGCCAATTGTCAGATGCCGGCCAACATAGAAAAGTACGTGTGACACGGATAAGTGCCAGTAGGTTTAAGTACTGGTTTTGAATTAGGTTTCATCAAGAAGGATGAACAATGTGTGTTGCATTTCTTTCTTTCAGCCTGGAATGCAGAACCTGTGTTGTCATAGGCAACAGCTTCGCCATTAAAAACACATCCTTAGGAGGCACCATTGACAAATATGATGTGGTCATTCGGTAAGAATAAACATTGTATATGCTTTTCATTGGACAACTATGTTACGTTTAATTGTATTTTCAAATTTTGCAAGGCTCGCCTCAATTTCTACGAATTAGGACTGTGCACGAATCGGTGGTGACTTGAATCAGAATTTTCGGATTTGAGTGAGAATGAATATGGCATATTGTCGTCTAGTGTCACAGGCATGTTTGAGTGACAACGCGTGTGACATATCTGTATGTATATATGCCTGGGGTGCACCGTGTCGTGTGAGGCGCGCTCTTTCAGAGCGATACCGGAAGTGTTTACGCGTGTATCAAAATGTTTATCCACCTAATGAGCATAAAATGAAAGAGTGAAGTAATCAGTCAATACAGCCCATCAAGGCAGTGTAGCAATGCCCTTCTCGTTACTTTGCTGTTGGCCTCTGAAGTGCTAGCACAAAGGGAAACGGAAGCAAATTTGGACGCTGGACTCGAGAGATGAAACCCACCTGCCCCAGGTTAGCTTTGTGCAAGCTAGCTGGTATGACACCCCCGCCCCCCCCCCAAAAAACCCTAATTGTAGGTCACTGTATGGCGAGGGTGAATATGAGGCTTGGGAAAACGCTTTGGAAGAACGTAGGTTGTTGATAAAAGTGCACTCCACACCGTTATGATCAAATTAGAATTTTTCCTTTCTGGGACGATGACGTGTTTTTCGGCAAAAGTACCATTAGTACAATTTGAATTGATTAGGGATTTGCTGTTTGAATGGTAAACGAATAGCAATCCCTCTTAAGTCTTTTTAGTCCCTAATAAATAAACACAAAAAGTAACAAATGGAGTATTGCAATATTAATTAGCAACATTGAGACTTCAATTTGGTGCTTTTATTTCATCTCGCCAATCAGAAAACCTTTGGGAAATGTACAGCCAGCTTTCTCAACAGGAAACAGGATCACATTTTGTCATGTCAGGCATGAAACCGCAAACTTGACTTTACTGCTTGGAGCAGACACACACACACACACACACACACACACACACACACACACCGAGTTGCTATAAACCTCTTTCAAACAGCCCAGCTGTTGGCCTGGGTACAATGCATTTTTCTTCCCAACATCAACGTGTCCGGGTGCCTCCCGAGCCTCTCCTTATGAAAACGAATCAGTAGCCGGACATGTAGGTTATTGATGGTCTGAATTCAATGCATGCCTGAAAGCAAATGTCATTGGATTTGTGTCATAGAAACACAACCTGAACTTCTAAATAGCCTAATGAGACTTGTGTGCAACCAAACATAGTCAAGGAGTTTCATAATACCATAATACAACCTGAGTACAACTCACAAGAATTTGGGGAACCGGATGTTGGGTTCTGGAGAAATGTGGGTTTTTTTTGTGTCCTTTTTAGGGAACGTTTGTGTGATATCTAGCCTATTGAAAGTCTGGTCAAAAAAGCCTTACCATGAGAGTAAAATGGACTCATTTGATTACAGTGGTACCTCTCCTTACTTACTTATGAAATTTTCAAGTCACGAAACGCCTCAACAGAAAATATTGCCTCTTTTTATGAAAGAAATTTCAAGATACAAAAGGTAAAAATACATTATGGGCTGCTGCTCGCAGGTCTGAGTTTCCTGAATGCAACATACTTAGAGCTGCTCTGCCATTGGCTATTACCGAGCATCCTCCTGGCATTTCATTGGCTAAGAGGGACCTCTACCATATGTGTGTAGATAAATATTACTGTGTGTATGCAGCGTCCTCATTATTTGTCCCTCGAGCCATGAGGCGTTCCGATAGTTTTACGTAAATGTGAATCAGAAAAAGTGTTCACTAGTCGGGCCATCGCTTACTATGCTGTTGTTTGCCTTGGACATTTTCGAAAGATTGTTAAAAGCCGACAAAAGCAAACCAACTCGGATCAGTTCTTTACAAAACGCCAGGCAAAAATCACCACTGAGAGTGAACATTGAACTAAAGAGGGCAAAAAAAAAAAAAACGATGAGCACGCAGTTAAAAGTTAAACGACCATCATTTATATTCTTTGTTTTTTACATTATACAGACCTCGCATTTATTGTGCAATAATCTAATGCTCGCACGGGCCATAATTCCAAGGCGTTCTCCAACTCATCCAAATTATCAATTGTGTTTTTGTCATTTATGTGTTAATGGTGGATGTTAGAAGCATTTGAAGTGCTCATTTCATGTTTTTTGGAAAATTTTGATTCACCAGTGCACATCCAATCGATGACAGTCAAAAAAATTGAAATTGTGTCACTTGTGCAAATTCGGCGACCATCCACCAGTTGAGTGAAGATTCAGGGAATTGGAGGAATGTCTTGCTGAAAGAACAAATCATTTAGACCACCTGATCGTTCTTCGTGAAGGGAACTGTGGGTGGGCGTGAAGAATACTGCGATTTTGAAAACGAGACGTGATTATACCTCCAGTTTCTCCTCTTACAGACTGAATGACGCTCCGGTGAGGGGCTACGAGGACGACGTCGGGAACAAGACCACAATGAGATTCTTCTACCCCGAATCTGCCTCCTATAATCCAGGCTTGAACAACCAGCCTGGCACACTTCAGATCTTTGTGCCTTTTAAGCAGCAAGATGTACTGTGGCTCAAAGAGATCCTCTACAACGAGAAGAGGGTACAAGATGTGTGGAAAAAGTTCTCGCACACGCACGCGCATGCACACACACACACACTGCTTTCCCCAGACCTTGTCAGCCAACCATATCAGTAACAAGCAGTGATAGGCCAATGTCAAAGTCCTTATTGGGCCTCTGTCCTTTTAGTCGCAGCCTGCTTGTTGCTGGGCCATTACCTGCTAATTATGCACATGGCGTTGCTTCCAGTCATGAGGGAGTTAGTGGCTGGCTTGCATCACTTGTTTGTATATATCAAGTGGGTGAACTGGACATGACTTATCTTTCTATTTATTTTTGTGTGCATGCATTCCAGGGCAGAAAAGGTTTTTGGAAGCCCCCTCCCCAAATCTGGTTGGGTGATTTTGCTCAAATCCGAGTGCTGGACCCGCACTTTTTGCACCAGACGGCAGAGAAGCTGCTGCGAATCCCCCTGAGCGCCAAGGGTAAACAGGTGAGGCTCCCGCTTTTCCAGTTTCGAGAGTCGTCATTCTGTCAGGCAGCTCGGCGAAGAGAAACAACGGTTGCAATTAACTTGTGACCTGTCGACATGCTTAACCGCGCGTTGTCTTGTTGGGAGTCATTCGTGTTGTTTGTTCGCTTTTACGTCTCCCACTCGACACGAACCAAAGCTGGCTGGAGCAGCCATTGGACGGTCAAAGGGTGTTTGGGTGACAAACTCAGTTCAAGTGTAGCTCGGTCATTTGCAAGGGATCCAATTATGGCAGATGATGAGAAAGATCTTCCCGTTCTGACATTTTGATGCAAGATAAACCCTCGCCCTCTTCAAGTTTGCAGCAGATAATGGCTGAGAAATAAGTGGCTTGGGAGAGAAAGCCTAAATAGAGTTTGCAGTACAACCGAAAAGGACAACTCAAAACTATTTCCAAAAGATGGCTGCTGTTGTTCAGTAATTTAGCAGTTCACGAAACAAAACTCAACAAAAGAAAAAATTGAGGAAACTTTGAAGCACTCTTCATGGTGACAACAAGAAAACATGATGCAAGGCGTTTTAGCTATGAGCCATTGATCTGTTTTCACTTGAAAACTTTTTTTTCTGAGCCTGGACTTTGAAATAGTTTCCCCCCTAATGACCGCTTCAATCTCCTGGGAGATTGTGTGCCTGGCAGAGCCAAGTTTTCTTTTGGTTCTGACTCGTTACCCTTGCCAGAGCTCTTTTTTTTTTTTCTTGTCAAAGAATGAGAAGTGGTTAGCCTTTTTGGACCCCAGTCCAAACAAGTGGGCAGTGTATGTGAGGTGAGGGCACCGGCAGCGATAGTCAAGCTGAGCAGCAGGCTTGGCCCACAGGAGCCCTGCACCAACTGTACAAACTTTCAGGAGTGTTGCAGAGAGGGGGGAAAATGGTGTTTCGGACCAGCACCAATTTGGGAGGATGCAAATAGAGACACTTGTCTGTAAGCAGTTACAATGTTAGGATGTTGACTAACTTCAAGGATTACTCAAAAAGCACTCAGCAGATTAGCACAAAACCTTGTGGAGTGGTGGGGTGTGGACCAAGGAAGGAAGGAAGGAAGGAAGGAAGGATATTTTGGGCAGATCGAAAGAAGTGGGTGTTTATGAAGTTTATGAAGTACTGTTTTGGCGCGCATTAGTCTTGTTTGGCGTGTTGGTCTTCTGCTCTGTGGCATTTTCTCTGGCCGACGTCGATCAGTGGGTTTGCGCTCAGTGTTTGGTGTTCGGGTACCAGGTGTTCAGATATGGAGTAGACCACAACATTCTAACATTCTCTTGCGAACAAAGGGCTGCGTGAACAATATTTATTCGGAGCGCACAGTGCAAGATGGTTTCATTTAAAGCAAAAATCGTTTTGACCCGGCTTTGAACTACTTCATTTTTGTGCTCTCATGTCACACTGCTGGACCACACTTTCTGAGAACCACCCATATACGCTCCACCACCACTCCCTCTTCATCTTCTGCATTGCCGACGCTTGTACAAAGCCACGTGATCCACACAGTACGTGTGTTCACATCCCTCTCCCGAAACGCAGGCATGTTCTCTGCTCTTCGCTTGCAGCGATGACAGTGTGCAGCCCACTCACCAAGCTCCGCAGGCCTGTGTCCAAACTACACAGAGCTCTGGCACCGGCCATATGAGGCTCATACACTCAGAATGTCAGCTATTCCGCAAGAATCGGATTCAACACACACACACGGACGGAGCACGGATTGTTGTTCGTCTTTCTTTTTATGCCCTGCGATCGGCTGGCAACCGGTTCAGGGTGTCCCCCACTTACTACCCGAAGACGGCTGGGATAGCCTCCAGCACCCCAACGCGAGCTTTGTGAGGATAAGCAAATTTTTAAAAATGGATAGACGGATGTGCAAATACGGTTGTGTCTGGTGTGTTTATTTACTTAACAGTTTAGAGCGTCTTTTCCTTTCTGTGGTGCAGATCTTTTTTTTTTTGTACAAATACGTTGTTGTGACTGATATATTCCAATTGAGGTCAAGTGAAAAAAAAATTAAAAAGTAGTGTCATGGGGAATTGTAGAGATCCTGCAGAATGGACATAACTCCAAATTCTGCTGTCTCCCCGTAACATAAACATGGACATAAACAACACTGTGGAGAGATCACACCATTGATTTTAATGGAGCCATCTCCACATAATGTAAGTAACATCTTTTATGATTGCCAGAGAGCGCTTAATCTAATATTTTGAGTTATTTTATACTCACTGCTGAGATAGGCTCCAGCACGCCCCGGGACCCTTGTGAGGATAAAGTGGATTAGAAAATGGATGGATGGATGGATGAATGGACATTTTATACTTTTTAGTATTGCTGTGTTCTTTAGTAACGTGCTCAGCGTTTAACGAATGAACAATAACGTGATCTATAAATGGAAACGATGATAGTTTTCCCATATTTTTCTTTGTTTCCAAATGAGAAAATGAGGTGTTGAATTTATTTGTCGTACATCGACGATGCAGCTGCAATTTGATCGCCGTATGGAATCTCTTAGAGGAAAAGGGATCACCATCTGTGGAATGGGTTTGCGTTTTTCTTTTCTTTTCAGTTGCATGTTGATGTTTTTCATTCAGACTTTGCGCTTTCATAGGAAACACGTCCAAATGTGGAACTAGTAATGTACCTCACGGATTCTGTTGACTTGTCTCACCATCTAGTGGCAAGTTGCAGTGGTGCATTAACAGCATAATGAAGGGTGAGATGAGGTGCTTTTGTACACAGATTCCAATTGCACATGGGTCATTTGAATGTTAGCTAAAGTCCAAGAGCAAATTTCTCATTAAGAACCTTATTGATTTGAAATCAGCCATCACTTGGCCCATTCTCCAAACTTGAAGGATCCAAACTTGTTGATATCTCGCCCATCGTAGCTGAGACAAACTAAGTAAGAATCCGACTGGTTCTATGATTAGGTGACATTACCATCATAGTTCATCGTGTCGGGAGACAGCAAACATTTATTTGAGTCTTGAACAACGTGTAAACAGTTGGAATTTTATATCATGATATGTGGCTAGCTGGATTGATTTAAGGATGATGAAAAAGTTTCAAACAAATTGATGTGTGTTTGCCTCCAAAAGATTCATCCGACAACGGGAATGCTTGCCGTCGTCGTTGCCCTTAACTACTGCGATGTGGTCCACATAGCTGGTTTTGGGTATCCAAACTCCAGGAACCTCAATGATCCCGTCCATTACTTCGACCATCGTACTATGAAATCTATGAAGGTAAGTAATGGCGGTCTTTAAAGTGATTAACATACCCCGTTCCTACCTGTTTCATCCCAAGTCTATTTCTGTCCCCTTTTGTAGAACTCTTACCATGACCTCAGTCATGAAGCTGAAGTCTTAAAAAGACTGGAGGACTCGGGTGCCATCTTTTACCTACACCCGCATTCATGAGGCATGTATGATAAGGTTACCAAATCAATTTATGCATATGGTCTTCTAACTTGCATTGTCATGGTGTGCTGTTAGTGTACAACAAGGATGTCCTTCTTGTTTTAATAGTTGTATTTCTCTTTAAGAATATAAACACACAATCACAAATGATTCACACAGCATTTCATCTGCTCTCGGTTTGGAAATAATGTCATTTAATGGAGTTGCTTAATTTATTGTTTTTTGTCTTCTTTTTTTTTAAAAATACATTCTAGTGGTACTGGTACTACTGGATAATTTTTGTTGGACAAAAAAATGAAATGAAATAAATTTTTAAAATAAACTTTTTGTATTCAATCTATATGGCCACAAGATGGCAGTCACACTCCTTTGAGTGTATCAACAATTCCACAGCAAAACCTCAACATGAAATCAAGTTGACATAATTAATTATAATAACAAGTATAATACCATGATAAAAATCAAATCAGTGACCTTCTTTGTACGGATAAACATTTTGATCCAGTTCTTGCATTAGTAGTCTGACTGGACTGTGCTCTACTTAATGTCATGACTATTTGAATTGCAGTACGAGAATTGTGAGCTCACGTGTACAACATGGACATCTGGACGAGCTGAACACCATTATGCTGTTGGGGCCGTGTGCAAAGGGTGCTCACGTGGCAATTCATTAGCATTGTCATGAACTGATTTATGCCTTGGGCATTTAAAAGCTAGTTGGGCTTATGTCGCGTTATAATTAACTTTGAATTAATGCTCATATAAAGCTAATGTAAAGCTTTTCATTGCATTCAAAAATGAGAATGAATGCTGGTTAGCACGTCCGACTCACAGTGCAGAGGTGCAGTGTTCGATTCCACGCCAGGGCCTTCCTATGGTAGCTTGCATTTTCTCCCCTTGCCTGCAAGGCTTTTCTCTGGGTACTCTGGTGTCGTCCCGCATTCCAAAGACGTGCATGGTAGGAAGAGTGAACGCTCTAAATTGCCCTTCGCTGTAATTGTGCGTGCAAGTGGTGTTTCGTCTATGTGTACCCTGCGATTGGCTGGCAGCCACTTCAGGGTGTTCCCCGCCTATGACCCGAAGACACCTGGGATGGGCTCCGGCACACCCGTGACCCTCGTGAGGATAAGCGCATCAGAAAATGGATGGATGGATATAACAGTATAATCTATTTCCTAAACCATCTGTGCACAAACTCTCATTAAAAGCATTTGGGAAAAAAATTAAAGAGGTACTTCACATGAATGCCATTTGTAGCAGGAAAAAGTTAATATTTGTCTGTTATTCTTTTGTTTTTAATGTCACCTGCATGGCATGTGTGCACACGGTCTCGACAAAACTTGTGGAACCACTGGTTCCACTGGTTCATGAAGCACCTTGAAGTTTCTTTTTTCCCATCACTAGCAGGAGGCCTTTATAAATGTTGATTTATTTATTTTTTGTCCCCCCCCCCCCCTGCAAATTATTGCTGAAATGTTTTGCGGGTGTTCCTCCATAATGGTCTGTGCACACAGCAGCATTTTTTTCTTGAAACCCCAATTTACTGATACTTCAGCTTTTTACAGATGTCACTCGTGCTCTTCTGATGATGTGATTTGTACTAATTCTTAACAAGAGCAACACACCGCTGTGACAGTAAAGATACACATTCCCAACATTCCACAATTAGAATTTCCCAAATGAACTCGCCAAAGCTACCATTCTCAGAATTTAAAGTTTTACACGTGTGCCTCCTCTTTCCACATTTCGTAAAATTCCCAATTTTTTGACCAATTCAAACCGCTCGAACATCAAGCCTCGCATTCTAAATTTCTGCCCTTCAATACGACTGGCGGGCTATTGCCCCACAGTGAAGCCAACCTTTTCCCCTAATCCACCTCGCCAGCCTCCCCAATGCACAACTACACACCTACTTTAGGTGTTCCATGTCACGCTTGAAAGCCTGCCTTTGCTTGCTTGACACAACAGGGACTTACATAATAGTGTGAACGTGTCCACTGCTTCTATGACCAGTCAAAACGAGGTCAGACTTTGCAGAAGAGTCTATTTGGAGTGCAAACGTAGCGCTCTGCCAGCATACATGCTACACAGCACCATACCCCGTGTGTGTGTGTGTGTGTGTGTGTACACTGTGGCGCTTTTCTTTAAACATCTGATGTGCTGAAGTCAGGGCATGTATACAGTATTATTAGCATGGCTGAAATGCTTCACGTGGACCTGCTGTGCAAGCTCCCTCATTCTTATTATTTTTGTAATTCACTATAAATATGGCATGATGGTAAAATAAAAAAAAACTACATTAACTTTAACACATTTAAATTTGTACAAGGATGAATCAGATATAATTACTTGAATATCATAACCATATTTGACAATTAAAGAATTAGTCATTAAAGACACAATTTAAAATAATAAATGTATCCATCCATCCGTCCGTCCCCTTTTTTAATCGGTTTCTGCTCACAAGGGTTGCGGGTGTGCTGGAGCCCATCCCAGCTGTGTTCGGGCAGTAGGCGGGGCACACCCTGAACGCGTTGCCAACCATTTGCAGAACTGATAAATGTACACGTCATAAATATACAGTATTTCTCAAGCAGGATGTCAGTCATTGACATACCACAGATTAAGTTAATAAAATTGAATGTAAATATTATGTAATACGACAGCCATATGATTTACACCAATCATCAAATAAAGATCATGTCACTCTTCATAAAATAAAATTAACTGTGGCAACAGTGGAAGTTAAAGTAACCTCGATTTGAATAGAACACTCCGAAAAAATATTGAGTTGATTTTTATTTAACATAATGCACACAACTACACAACAATCGTTAATCAATATATTAGGAATGGAATACAAATATAGTGGTTGAATTAATTGATTAGTTATAGAACAAGTATGTATTACCTAATCAATCAAGGTCTCAGGAAATATGGACACATTTATTGTATTGACAGGATTGAGTTTTATGGGGAGAAAACATGCACGCGCACACACACACACACACACACACACACACACACACACACACACACACACACACACACATGCAGTGCGTCTGTCTGGCGTGCGCGTGCATGTCAAGGGTGGCCAGTGGACATTTCGTGTGGGAGAATACACAAGTGGAACAGGATGCAGTCAGGCTACCCGGCGAGAGGGCATCTGGCTTGGCCTCAGGGCCGGGAGAACTGCCAGGAGGCAGGTGCCCTGTGATCCGGCCCCACACCAACGGGTTCAATATGACGGGCGTGAGGAGAGAAAGAAAGCACAACAAATCCACCTTCTACTATATGGAGTTTGTTTCTCCTCACCGATACGAACTCCCTTTTCTTCATGCTCGTGGCAGTCAATACGATCAAAATGATCCCATCCTCATTTGCGTGGGCACAACGGTCAGGCATATCACCCGATTTAAAAACTTGACACTGCCACTTGAGAAAAATCATTTTCGATCCTAGATTTATATTGTACTGTTTGGCAGCCCGGTGATCGACTGGTTCTCGTGTCGGCCTCACAGTGCAATGGTGCAGGGTTCGATTCTGGCTCCAACCTTCCGGTGTGAAGCTCGCATGTTTTCCCCGTGCCCGCGTGGGTTTTCTCCGGGTACTCCAGTTTCCTCCCACATTCCAAAAACATGCGAGGCAGGTTAATGGTGTCATCGTGAGCACGGATGGTTGTTTGTCTGTGTGTGCCCTGCCCTGATTGGCTGGCAACCGGTTCAGGGTGTACCCCGCCTCCTGCCCGAAGGCAGCTGGGATAGCCTCCAGCACACCCGCGACCCTTGTGAGGATAAGCGAATCAGAAAATGGTGGGATGGATGTTTAATGTCTACTAAAATTGTCCATATGAATTTGACTTTTTGGGAAAATGAGTGCAATCTGAAAGAGCCTGACGCACGGTATAGCTTTAACACGTTTTCCGCTGTTTTTCTCCACCTAAACGTTAACGGCCCTGTTCAATAAGATTCGTTGTGACGTTTGTCAGCGTGATTCTGGCCTGTGGAAGAAAGAAAACCGTGGCAAGAAGCGAAACCCCCCTCCCCCCTAAAAACTCCAGCTAATTCCACAAATATGCGTGAGTATTACTTGGCGGCTGAGTGTCAGACAGAGATGTCTTCTCAATGTTCGTCATTGCACTGTTTGAGACGATGCAGCAGCATGTTGACAGGAATAATAAATAAAGCTGCGGCCGCCGTGTACGCACATGCTATGGAAGCAATGCTGGATGGAATCGAGTCCAGTCTGCTTGTCCCTTCACGCAGTGTGCGTGTGTGTGTGTGTGTGCTGTACTGTTCCTTTAACAACGCAGCAGCCACTATTCGATGTGCTTTTTGTACCCTCGGACATGGCAGCGCAGCTCACGTGTGTGCACAAACAAGAGGCTGAGTGTTCGAGCGCCGGCCCGGCCGCCGGGTTCAGCGCCACTGCTACAAAGCGCCAAAACCGCAGAATCTGAAAATGACACCGGGTTAAAAATGGAACATATTACTCAGCATCCCCCCCAAAAAAAATAAATAAAAAAATAGAAGCCAGCCTACTGTATGGTCAGGGTTTTTGCAGTAACAACAACACTCAGACTGAACATGAACTTCCAACTAACATTTACTGGCCACAAAATGATTTTTTTTTTCCCTTCAAAGGGCCTTGACAAAATGATGCAACCATCCTATTTTTATCCTTTGTGTATTCTATTTTTGGAGCATCAGTGGGTTCTTTTTTTTTTTTTTTTTTTTTTTAATGCTTCCGTAGGGTTTATTTGTTTTCAGAATTGCATGGCAGACCGGGCGGTAAAGTTTGGACAGTCAAATGAGCTAATGTTTGCAAGATATATATATAGTAGTGTGTGTTTGTGTGTGTGTGTGTGTGTAAACGTAAAAAAAACCCTCACAGGCTATATTCTTTGTTCTGTGGGAAGAACGAATATTAAAATGAAAATATATAGCATTGTATCACGCCTATGTGGAATTCTCTTCTTGCATCTCTTACAGCGGACATCAGTGCTGCCTGGGCCAACAACTCTGGATTCGAACTTGCCTAAATGTTCTTGAAACCCCTCAAAAAGATGATTAAAAGTCTGTGACATGGTGAAGCACGGACAACGAACCGCACTCCAGCAGAGGTTCACGTCACGGTATGCCTACTTGGCGTACGTCGACTATTTTTCAGGCTACACATGGCTGAAAATAAAGATGAGCATTTTTCTTCATGAGACAGGCAGACTAAAAGTGCAGTATTTGTTCTTCAATCCACATTTGTTGACACACATCACCCGTCAGCTCATGTTGACTGTAAATGGAATGCGTGGCATGGAGTGATGATAGACGCGCCCTATCATCATGTTATTGTTTTATACAAAAAGTCACAGTCGTAGTAAAATATTGTCGACTTGTCCGCATTGACCCTCTTTCTCTCGGAAGCGGACTGGTATTGCCTATTTCCCTCTCGTGGGAAAATTCCTTTTTGGGCTCGTAATGTCCACTTACATAACAGTATCCATTTTTTAATATCTCGTTCATTTTTTTACAGAAAGACGCTGCAGCCTTTTGTACCCGTCAACCTGCTCTCAGTGTGCAAATACCCTCCCACGTCCTCTCTTCCTCCCCATCTGCTTGTAACGCTGAGCCTTGAATAATGACAATTCAAAACAATGGAACCACTCGACAGTGGTTTCATAAGGCTTTCAATAATTTTTTGCTGATATCCCCTTGTGGCGAAAAAAAAAAAAAAGAAAAACCTTATCAGCTTGGCCACTTTGATAAGAGGTTCGAATGGTGTGTACAGCGTTAAATATAAGTTAACCACTTTCACATGCACACACCGTATTTTCCGCACTAAACTAAAAGGCGCACTGGATTATGAGGCGCACCTTCATTGAATGGCCTATTTTGTAATTTTTTTCATACATTGGGTGCATTATAAGACGCAATCTACAATGCATCCACTAGATAGAGCTATGCTCAAGGAAACCCCAACAGAACAATCAGATGTCAGTAAAACGTATTGAATAAAGCAGTGACACAGTTCACGTCACCAACAGCAAGTTATAACATTGACTCGTTAACGTTGAACTCTCTTGCCGCCGCACTATTTCCGTGTTCAACCGATTGCCTTAAGTTTGAACTCTGCGTTGTCAGCATGTCTCGAGCAAGGAGCCATTTTGGGGTCGAAATATTACCGTAATGACCATACACAAGGCGCATCGGATTTTAAAGCGTGCTGTCAGTTTTGGAGAAAATGGAAGGCTTTTAGGCACGCCTTTTAGTGCGGAAAATACGGTACACCATTTTTTCAAATGCTGATTTTGCTTCCAACAAACACCTTTAGAACGTACACTCCTTTATCACGACCAGATTTTCACCCACAAAATAGTACAAAGGCCTTCGTTACAGCATCATGTCTGGTTCTGTGATGAACATCACACGTGTCCTTTTTGTTCGCATCAATATTAATCTCTTCTGAGAGCACAAAAAGCTCAAGAAAAAAACAAAAACAAAATATGCTTGTGGAGTTGTGTGCATGCTCACTGAGCCGAATCTCATTTGATGTCACCGCTTGTGGCCCGTCAAGGTTTTGGGATTTTGACGGTGACTTCACAGGCTTATTTTCCCCATTAATTCCCGTTTGTACAACTTTGATGGCATTCTGCTTCAGAGGTCCCCCTGTACTCTGTCTTTGTTGATTTTTCCACTTGATTTTGATTGACTCACTTTGGCCAAGTATTACAATCGCCCCCAATACAGGAATCTTCCAAATGGGGAACGCTTCAAGCTCTCTGAGCTCCTAAACGGCCCATGATAGATGACGCCGTCATTAAAAGCAGTGGAGCTCATCTCTGGGCTCTACTTGATGCATTCGAGGATGTTTTGATCGTGCTCCCTAAAAGGCACAGACCCATGAAAGAAATGAACGCACGCCAAAAAAATCAATACAGCAGCACTGAAGTATTTTAGTTTTGAAACAACCGACTTGAGTATCGCAAACTGAACTTCTAATCTGCTATGCCAGAGGAGAGGTAGAAATGGAGGAAAATATGATTAGCTGAAGGCCGCACACATTTCACCTTAGACAAGTCCTCTATTCTTCTCCATGTACTTAAAAAAAAAAAAAAAAAAAAACCAAAACACAGATGACAAACCGGGCAGTATATGCATTTAATCCTCTTCAGAAAAAGCAGGCAGAAAGTGCTACAGTAAACAGATTACGGACTGAATAGCTGTGCTACGACTGGTTTGCGGTGATAACGAATACCAATAGAACAGAGAGGGGAGTGGAATTGATAGACCTTTTATAAAACTTAACAAAACAACGTTGCTTTCCATATCGGCGATTCCTGAAAGAAACCCCGCGGGTGCCTCTGTAAATAGGTTCCAGGGGATCTATAATGAGGTGCGCTGGGGTATATCCCCTGTATACATGACTGGAAGCAATACATCATGTTACACTGTATCTGGAAAACGCCATTTTCTCATGGTAATGGACGATCCTGAGGACAAAATGCAGCAAAGCTTGCTCCGAATGTGAATGTGAGCGGCAACAAGAGGATCGTGTCACGGAAGTTCCATTCCGTAATACGGTGAATACATTCGAGAGATAATATTTTGGGGGCGAACGAGAAGCTGCAGAGAAAATAAGACGGATGGAACCATTATTCAACGGAAATTTCAGGCACAGAGCACCTCAAAAAGTGGGAGATGGAACACTGGTGACATCAGCGTCGAAATGACTCCATAAGATGTACTTGCCAGTTCGTATTGAAGCGGTCCTCAGATTTTCAGTTGTCTGCACTTTTACCTTGTGCGGGTTCATTTTGTTTATTTTTGTACAGTAAAATCACAACGACAGCAAACGCGGAATGCGCTGCCAAGATTTATTGTCTTGAATGTTGCGTCCGGTCGGTTATTTTGAGCTGCAAGAAAATTTTCAAGTGTACAGATGAGATGTGTACTGCGAGTGTCCCGTGCAGTTTGGTATTCATCACCGCGCAGCCTTCGTTGTAACCTGCGGGCCTGTTTTCTCAATTCGACTCTGACAGCAAGTCTAGTGCACGACCAAGAGCTGCAAATGTCTCTTTGGACTTCAGGATCACCTCCATCCGTCTTAAGCGCTCCCTGTTGACACCCACTCTCTCTATGTGTGTGTTCGTGTGTGTGTGTGTGCGTGCGTGTGTTCGCTCAATGCAACTGTATTGGTCTCCGAGGAGCAAGTTAACCCTGGGGTGCAAACGCAGGGAGTAGCAGCTGGAGATCGACTCTCCCTTGGTTCCTGTCCCAATTCATTAGCATGGACAAAGATGTCTACGTAAACACACACGTCTGTCGACCGCACGCAAACACACGCGGACGCGCACAGCGGGGGTTTAAAGCAAGAAGCTCGACTTTATGGCGACTTCCAACTAAAAGCCTCGTGTTTCAAATGACAGCAGTTGTCATTTCAGGTGTTTTTCGTGTTGCTGAAACTGAATACGTGGCGTATTACTTAAAAAGTAGTCAGAAATGACTTCACCACATATTACAGTGAGACTGAGGTGGAGTGCAAAGTGCCTCTTTGTGCTGCATGTGGCTGTCCAAATCATTAAAAAAAAAAAATGTAACAACTATATTTTGCGGTGGCCCTGTGCTCGATTGGTTAGCACGTTGGCCTCACAGTGCAGAGGTGCACGAAAAAAGAGATGGGTGTTTGTTAGTTTTTTTTTTTTTACGTGAACTTTGGTCGTCATGAAGAAAGAGGAGAAGCTCAAGAAATGGAGGAATTACATTTACATCTTCAATTTATTTATTTTTGTCAATAGGGCCAAATAGCTCAACCATTGTCTCGTTTATCCATTAAAACGTTTGTCCAGAAGGTATCTGGCTCGTCCGCGTGCGCATCTGCAAATTTAAGTTAAGCTTGTGAGTTAAGTGTCAGTTTCAGAGAGCAGGCGTGCTTCTTCTGTGGTTGGCACCTTCGCAGTCCATCGAGAATTAAAACTCGTTCCACTGTGGACGGTGACACTGTTGTTCCAGCATGCAGTTTCAAGTTCCAGGCAGGCTCGAGCATAGGTGGTTCTTGGGTAATTCCTGAGCATCCTTGCCAATTTTCTTTCATTGCAGGGTGACAGTTTGTGTCTTCCAGACCTTGGCAATGTGGCAATGTATTCAAATAACAGTTGATCTGAAGATCTTGGAATCAGCAGTTCAGAAATGGCTCCACAAGAATTTCCTCGGTGTCACAGTCACCTTGAAAAAGTAGCTTAGTTACTTCACTGATTATTTTGAAAGTAACTAAGATGACGATTTATTTTCATAGTTACATTAAACAAATACCGATAACCGTGATTAACATAAACATGACATCCGGGATTGCCACTTCATTTTTTCTTCTTTGTACTTTGGGGTAGTCTGGATGCTTCGTCTGCACCACGCTGCCTCTCACAGGTCGGTCTTGGTATTGTGCTGATCATCCAGCGCATAGCACGGCATTATAAAACCAGTAAGCAGGCACATATGGCGATTTTTCATCATCAACTGAGGGGTCGCTTAGATTTAAGAATTGGTGTGTCTAACTTAAAATGCTGATTGACAATCAAAGCGACAGCATTTTATGAGCACGGTGAACCAGTAAGCAGGCACTTATGGCGATTTTTCATCATCAACTGAGGGGTCGCTTAGATTTAAGAATTGGTGTGTCTAACTTAAAATGCTGATTGACAATGAGCTACATCAAAGCTAACAGAATTTTATGAGCACGGTACTGCTGTGTGGGCCTGGAGTAAACGTGTTTTACTGACATGAAAGCCACAGCAGAATCGGCTTCATAATATCATGCACATGTTTAACTTTGTGAATGGGTTTTACATTGAAGGCAGGTGAAAACACCGCTGCGCACTTGTGCACAGTCGCCGCCTGTCTGAAGAGGGTTAAACACGATCCTTGTACGTGACGCCTGCCGCATCCTACTCCTGTCGCCGCAAGCTCCTCAAGTCATATGACATTTTCCTGATGACTTTGTCACTCAGCAGATGGCTGACAGTTCCGTCACGTCTGCCCACTGGTGATGTTAGCGCTTTAAGAATGAAGGAAGAAGAAGAAGGAAAAAAAAAAAGCTTTATGCTCGCTTTAAATCAAAGAATGTTTCCTCAAATGGCAGCAGGCTAAAGCGAATAATACATCATGGCCTTCATGGTGATGAATTTGGCCTTGAATCACTTGAATGAGGTCTCACAGGCCTGCCAATGAAAAGAGAAGATGTATGTTTACGAAAAGCCAGACTAAATGGTTGAATATATTTTCGTGAAAAACAGTCAACCATTCGAGGCTATTTCAAGATCTTCCCACAGGAGGACATCCATTTCTAATCAAAGACCCTTTGCAGCTGAGGCCTCCTGCACTCATGTGCACGTGCACGCGCGCACG